GAACTTGATCTCAGTCTGGTGAAAAGGGCAGGTGTCGTGATAACAGTGGGACCAGTGGAGTCTGCTTTGTTCAAGTTCGTGAGGAGGTGTGCTGCGAAGCGTGCAATTGTCTTTCCATTCTTCATCAATGTCCTTTCCTCATTCTGTTCCGGCAGCACTGTATATGGTGTAAGAGAAAGGATTGGAGGGAGTGGCAGAGCTGGCGGTAGCCATCGATGGTTCTTGTTCATAGGAGGTGTCGTCAGGGCTGTCCTCGCTTTGTCTTGTGTGGTCGTGAACAAGAGGAGTGTTTGCGAGGTGTTGATTCTCATATAGGCGGGAGAGAGCATCAGCTAAATAGTTTGTTCTTCCAGGGGTGTAGATGATTTTTGCATCATATTTGCTGATTTCGCCTATCCATCTTGTTCTTCTTCTTCCAGGTATTCTTTCTGTTTTAAGATTAGTGAGAGGTTGGTTGTCGGTAACAATAGTGAAGGTATTGCCCATGAGGATGTGGTTGAAAGCAGCGAGGGCATCAATCACATCAAGGGCTTCTTTGTCTGTTGTTCCATAGTTCATCTGTGAATTAGTGAACTTTCTGCTGTGTAAAGCGGCCGGTCTTGCCATTTCATGGGAGGCTCCTTGTCCAACCCATGCTCCAACTCCAACATCCGATGCATCAGTAATCAGCCATATTGGTTCTGGTCTGTTGTAGTCGATAGGTTATATAACGTTGGCATTTTTTTATCAATTCCATGATGTTGGTAAAGGCTTGGTCATGAGTGTGGGTCCAGACAAATTCTGCATTGCCGGTAAGGTCTGTGAGCGGCGCTGTCACAGTGGCATGGTGTGGTAGGAACTGGGCAATATAGTTGACGAGTCCTAGGAATCGTATGAGTTCCTTTTGATTCCGGGGTGTCGACCATTCCGTTAAACAGGCTATTTTTCCTGGGGCTGCATGTATTCCTTCATCATCTATAACATGTCCTAGAATATCGAGTCTGTCGGCAAACAGGATTGATTTGTTTCTGCTAGTGTAGAATTTAGCTTCCCTAAGTTTGGTACAAACCAAACCTATGTGGAAGGCGTATTCTGTTGCGGCATTCGAGAAGATGAGAATATCATCAATGTAGACCCAAACAAAATGGTGGAGGTATTCGCTCAGGAGGATTTCCATAATTCGCATAAAGGTGGCGGGCGCATTCATATCACCTTGTAACATAACTCGGCTAATGAAACTTCCGAAGAGTGTTTTGAAACTGTTGTAGTGTTCGCTTTCTGGATCTAACCTTGTTTGGAAGTAGGCATCGCTTAGGTCAATCTTACTTCGGAATCTAGCCCGTCCAACTGCATTTAGAATCTGGGTTTGGTTTGGGATAGCGGAGCTGTCCATGACTGTGTTTTCGTTCCGTAGTTTAAGGTCAACCAAGGGGCAGATTCTTTTGCCATCTGCTTTGGGTTGAACAAACATAGGAGCGGCACCTGGGGCTTCTGCCCAGTAGATGACTCCTCTTCTTTGTTGTTGGTTTATCCAATCACAAAGTGGGCCTTTGTATGCGTCAGGAATAGAGTAAGTAGGTTGGTTCTTGAGATTGGAGGGGTCTCGGAGGCGGATGTGGTAGTTCACCTCTCTCATAGGCGGTAGTTCTTCGGGTATTTGATCAGGAAAAACATCAGAGTATTCATCCAATAGTTTTTGGGTAGTTGCTTCACAGACTGCGGCTCGGTACTCTCCACTTGTTGGCTTGGATGAGACTCTGACCTTCTGATCTGGGAAATCGATGGTTGATTCCCCACACCTGATTATAGCTTTGTGGCGGTTCAAGAATGGCATGCCTATTAGGGCATCGTATTTGGCTAAGTTTCCAACCAGCATTTCCTGGGGGGGTAGGACTGCAGAACCAAGTCGAATAGTCGCACTACAGGTTTTATAGCTTGTAGATCGTGATCCTTTTACTGCCATATTGACTGGTATGGGTTGGTTAAGGTCTCGAGTTGGGAGTCCATGGACAGAGACAAAGGCATTACTGATCATATCTCTTCTGATTGCGCCAGTATCGAATAGGACTCGAGCCCTTTTGTCATTGATCAGGATAGTACCTTCCAGGGCAGTGTGTGCTTTGAATGTAGGCAGAGGTCGAACACTGTTGCATTCCACATCGATATACCCAATATGGATCTCTTCATATTCGCTGGATTAGGTATTATCGCTTTCCACATTGTTGGCCGATGCCTCTTGCTTAATTGCCTTTCCTTTTCCTTTCTTTGTAGGACAGTTCTTTGCCATGTGTCCTGTTTTTTCACATTCAAAACAGTCTCCTTTCTGCCGTCTTGATTCTTTGGAGTATTTTGTTTTCCTTTTGAAAACCCGTGGGGTATCTTCTTCAGAGTTGCTGTAGGCTTTGTGCCGTGGCTGGCTATTCCTACTAGAGGATGTCTGTGTTTTGTAGGCCTTGGTTTCATGGAGAATGGCATCCTTTCGTTCTGCTCTTGCAATTATTACTGCAATATCATCGCCGTCTTCCTCGAGTGGTTCTACTTCTCTCCGGAGTGTAGGGTGCATAGCATCGTAGAATCATCGCTTCAGGATGTATTTGGAGATACTTCCTCTCTCCATTCGGTCCTTGTACATCATCAGGTCCGTAGCCACATCGGTGATTCGCTTGATGTGCATTCCATTAACTTGCTGGAGCTGGTTGAATTTGTTGTATAGGAGGTCGTTGGTTATAGAGGATTGGAATTGTCCTTTCAGGTAATCGAGAACTGTAGTTCCTCTTAATCTTACATTTCCGCCGAAATCCTTATAGCATTGGTGGTATGCGTCGGTTGCCTTTCCTTCGCAAAATGATCCAATGATAAGTCTGGTTGTAGGATCTTCCACATCTTTTCCTTGTAAGAGTAGGAAGTGTGAGAGTTCCGTCACCCATCATTCAAAGGCTTCAGGTTTGAGGTCTTTTCCTTCTCCTGTGAACTTTGCAGGGAGGTGGAGTTTAAACTTAGGGGGTTCAAATACTACAGGTACCTCCTCTTCTTCAGGCCTAGCCCGAGATTTTCCTCCTCCAGAAGGCCCTCCTCCTGTGCTAGCCATCTCTGATTCGCTACTGGATTCGGGGTCGATTGGAGGATCAAAGGAAGGTTTCTTTGCTGGAGTAGAAGGGAATTCTCCTGGAGGTTGCGTATCTTCCATGTTTGCAGGATCGCTCGGCTCTTTAGCAGAGCGCCGGGGTTGTTTCTTTCTTGTAAGGTCTTGCTGTGGGATTTGCTTCCCACTCCTGGTCGTCAAAGACTCTATCTTGAGTTTGAGATGAAGCCGAATGTGCCGTGATTCTGCCGCTTCTCTCCGCTAGCATTCTGAGGTGGATATCGATAGGTTGATCAGGCCTAAATCCGGGGACAGGTTCTTAACCACTTGCTAAGGTTAAAAAAATATAACGTGTTCGCAAGGTGCCAATCACGTTAACGGTAATAGGTACGATAGTTGGCAGGTGGCCAGCTCTTCCATAGAGGAGGCGAGAGCTGAGAACTAAAGGAGGCTTCGAGGGTGTACTGAGGAACAAAGAAGTAACCGTTCAACCAAGTATATTGATATACTGTCTGTCGAAGTCTGCCCTTTCTATCGTAGAAACAGGCGGTCTTTAAATACACAAATCTCTTCATGTCTTAACATGAACGAAACTAATTAAAGGTATCAATCAATACACTTAGGTAAAACTCCTTAAGTATCAAAGCGATACTTAAAATAAAACATAAAACAAAACCAAGTATCAAACGATACTTAAAGCTAACCAAGTATCAAAGTGATACTTAAAACAAAACATAAAACAAAACCAAGTACCCGTACCGGTTACAGATTTAGATTTGAAGATATGTGGGTGCCATGCAACCCATTTCTGAAGTTTCTTCGCAATAGCCATATTTATCTGAGCCTCAAGTTTAGCCGAGTCAGCCAGTGGGGCGGGGTCTTTGCGGGTAGCATAGATCCTCCTTCGGACTGTATTTAGCATCTTTGGGTTGTATTGCCTTAGTGGAGTTAGACTCCTTTGTGCTCCTGGGTTCTGCAGGTTCCTCAGAGTGCACATCCTTCGTTTGTTTTTGTTGTGGTTTTTGGGGAGGAGTTGGTCCCACTGTCCCTAAGCACTTTTTCCCTTCAGTCGGGGTCTTTTGGTTGTGGGGTTGTGGTGGTATGGCAGCATTACTACTAGTGTATTTGTGGGGCTATTGCTATTGTTAAGTTTGGTACACTGAGCATATGGCTTGGTCACATTCACTGCAACATTGGTAGATAGGTCCCTGGCATTATTCAAGAGCAAATTGAAGGTGCTTGCCAGTTCTTCAATTTTTCCATTAAGGGATGTGATGTGGTACTGAAGACCCACCACCATCCTGAATGTCTCAATTTGGAGTGTTGCCGCAAGGAGGTTATCGTTTATGAAGTCTTCTTCATCCTGATTGTGTAGCTTTTCAGCTAGAACTGAACCTTCTGGTAGGCTTAGATAGGGGATAACTGCCCTAATTCTACTGTAAAATTCAGTGAACCAGGGGCTTCAAGAGGGACCACCAGGGGTAGGGGACGCTGATGTTTGTGGGTGGTTGCCACCAAGCTGAGATGCCATTTCAGCTATGGTGACGTGAGGTCGTTGGTGTTGATTTTAGGTCTATTTCTATTTTGGAGGCGCTAATTTCAATCGACAGGAAAATAGCGGAGACGGAGCATGGTGCCGCCTCGCTGAGCCCTCACACGGTTTATACCTACTCAACCTGAATCCTCCTCTTGACAACCGCGGGACCCTAGCGCGGCTGTGTCGCGTAACCCCGTGACACCGTGTCCTTAGTGTCAACTTCGAGTGATTCCCCATGTTGCTCCACTCTAGCTGGCTCAGATGCTTCCAAATTTCCATCGCTATTTCCGCCGCCCGTGGCCCAGAATCTGGAGCACTATTCTACCTCCCATTCCTTAGCTCTCACCCCCTAAACCACACCTCACCCATCATGTTTACCCCACGCCAGCCACCGGTAAATCATGGGAGGAATTTAAATTAAATTATTTGGTTCACAAACTAACTCATAGCCGCATCCCCATCACCGCTGACTGCCTTCCCCCTGATCAAGCCCATCTCCTTCAATCCGAGCAACAGCCTCTCCTTGACAGCCTCATTAATGACAAGTCTAACGCCAGTAGAGGCGGTAATAGCACCGTCAACGATTCTCTCTACTTCGTCTGTGCTATCGCCGTCCCAGCCCATCGATCCTTTTGTCCAAACCAAGGTGAGCTCATCCCTAGCAGCCATATACCCAACCGCGGCCGCAGCAAGGATAATGTAGCCGTCGATAGGACTGGGGTCCAGAACCAGAGTGACTTTTCCATTCTTTCTCATGCCACGTCTAGCGTCATCACTATCCTGACCAACCTCCAAACTCTTCTCAACACGGTCCTCCTCCACCACCCCGCCCTGTTCCAAAACCAACCCGGCCACGCCCCCCGCCACAAGATCAAAGCACTCAATCCCAGCATCTGCAATAGCTGCGCTAGCGCAACTAATCGCTGTAGCAAGCACACTCATTAATCCCACATCCACCCCACCACCTGCTTCATCTCCTGCATCCCCCAGTCCACCCTCACAGTCAAGCACACTAACAAATACGTCAATCGCACTCTTGGGATACTTTCCGACAGCCACACTTTTTCCAAGGGCGATAGATAGTTGCGCGGAAAGGTCGCGTTCCACACCGTCACGAATATACCCGCGACGGCGGCCGGGAGTGGAAAACGGCGAAAACTTGAGTTCGGCGGTCAGGCGCGCGTTTGAGGAGAAGGTTGTTGATGAAGGCAAGGGCCGGGGACCGTAGACACTCGAGGTGAGCTTTAGAGTGGGTGTTGAATGGGTGGAGGGTGTCGGGAGTTCCAAGAATGCAGAGCCCGTTGCGGGTGGAGTTAGGCCGGTTTTCAGAACTACCGGAGCAAGAGATTGATTAGGTTTTGTATTCAGAGGAGGAGAATGAGGGAAGGGGGTGGAAAAAGAAAGGAAGGATACCAACAGATTTTTCGAAGAGTAGTTGGTGAACGTTTAATTATTGATTTATGAGTCGAGCTAGTGAGGAATACCGGCGGTATAGTGCCCTCCAGCGGGCCATTGATGCGTCGGCGATCCGTCATGACGGTATTTCGTAGATCAGAAGATGGGGAGCGTAGTTGTAAGCAGAGTTGGGCAAAGTTGTGGTGGGATGGGTGGGATGGGTGGGAAGAGGGAGCCGCTTTCCCAAGCTAAATGCCGACGCTCAAACCGAGACCCCACAGCCCAACCTATGATACTATACGACCATAGAGCTGCACTCGAGTTTTAATTTAGCATGACCATTCTTTCGCCTCACCAGCAAGCACGCAAGCCGCCAAGGATGGAAAGCTCTTGTTCCAGCCCGCTGAGATGGGCTGGATAAAAACCATCCTCCACTCAATACTTTGAACGAACAAACCCTTCTCTAACCCCTCGACATTTTCCCGTTCCCAGTGCCGGACCTCACAGTAAGACCAATCTTCTTCCGCCCACCCATTCAATCGTTTCACATGATGAAGACTCATTCTTGGGATATTCTTCTATGATCCACAAGATCCAAAATATTACTAAGAACAGCCATCTGATCAATTTTTTGTTTCTTTTCCCCCACTGAGCATTTGAAGATTAATTGAAGAGGGATGCTAACCCCCGCCATGGAAGGGATATCGTGGGATAATACTTCGAGGACAAGTATGGACCTTACTCCTCATTAAGCGCGAACGTTTTATCATACTTAACTAACCACTACGCCCTCATCATCGCAAATACTTGCTCTAGAACAAAACATATATACCTCCATTTTCAATTCTTCTACTACCCTCCTACTTAATTGACCGGTAACCCATCTCTCCACCCAAAACACCTCATCCCGAACATGCCACCCCAAACCCCCCTATCAGCAACATCCCCCATCCAATCCCTCTACCCAACTCTCATCCGCCCAATAATTGCCCCAGATTTCTACCAGCCACTCCTCGCCGACGCA